AGAGAGAGAGACAGAGAGAGAGAGAGAGAGAGAGAGAGAGTGAGTGAGAGAGAGAGAGAGAGAGAGAGAGAGAGAGAGAGACTCACATAGGCTTGAGTATGCATTTAACAAACACAGACACGACAGACGTCTCGTTTACGTTTCTTGAGCTAAGAAATCCACAGTAAAATCTGACCAAATGCAAACAAGGCTGACACAGAAGTGAATCTTGGTGGTAGGAAGGGAACTGGTGGCAGGAAAGGGTTTGAGGAGATTTGTTTTTGTAGGTGGGTTTAGGGTGTGTGGGTGGAGGGAAAGAATAGATTCACTGCAAATTTGCGGGAAGTGGGACCCCATTATCGGAAGACCTGCTTGATTTGAACATCCACGCCATCAACTTTAACGCCAGTTCGGAGACATGCATATACATCAATATTTATCACAATTTACTACACGCCATGATTAAGAAGAGAAAATACTCGAATTATCTTTACAGTAAGACCAGCCGCTGGTGATAATGTCAGGAAATGGAAGAGAATTAGTATGCAGTGCTACTGATTCAAAATCGCTCGATATGGAGAGAAGATGTTTAGGCATAAAAGGCGTTCTTCTGATTTTAACTTCAATTCTAATAGACCCGAGACAAACACCAAGAAACTATATAAACCCATGGGGTGAAACGTTTAGGCACTTTGCCATCGCGTGCAGGGAACATGAGCTCGATTCTCGTTTTGGGAGAGGTTTTTTTTTCGAGTAACTCCGTCTTTCAGCTCGGACATTGTCTCCCTCTCACCCTATGTTTCCCTTTTAAAGGTAGGATCGAAGGCCGCCTTTTTAATGACCTACGTGTATTTTGTGTCTATAGAGACAAAAACTCTTATAATTACATTACAGCCCCCCTCCCCAACAAAAATACAAAACAAAACAACATCAAAAAAGCTAAAGAGAAATAACTGCTCTTGGGGTAATTTCAGACATGGGTCATAAATATTGCAGTCCAGCATAATATCAACTGAGGTGACTCTGAGTCAATGAAAAGAAAACAACTTTTTCGTTTTGATTCTCTAAAAGACGTCTGAGAAATAGGTTGTACTTGGAATGACAATTTCAGCTTTAAAAAATAAGGGAGGAAATGCGGCAACATGGACAGTAGGAGCAAATGTGGCTTTATTGTGGTCTCAGCGCAAACTGCTGAGAGAGCTGTCAAGGGACGGCGTCTCCCTCTGACTCCCACGAAGGGCAATTTAGAATGTGAAGACAAGACAAACAGTTTTTGCTTTTTACGTCACTCCCGAGCACTCCTTTGATTTTTCTTTCCACTTGGATCGTCGGCGTCGACAGTGGGTTTCTCACCGCCAGGGCTCGCTCGCTTGCTGGCAGTCGCTTCTTCAACCCTGTCTACGTGATTTTTTTTATGCTGGAGGCAAACTCGGTAGAAAAGCGTTCTTGTGGGGCTCAGTTCAAACACTAGGAGGCTATGATTGGCCATCAGGGTCCGGCGCGCAGAGGCAACTAGCTGCTAAGCCCCATACACACACGTGACGTTGCCAAACCCGGCGACACGTCGCTAGGACAATCCAAGTGAAGTCTCATCATTCGACCTGGGGGACCTGGGGACAGCTGTAATCGTTTGACACCCCCTACCTCCCCTACCCCGCACTCCCTTCCAGCCCCCATTCTTGTCTACTTTCGTTCGTCGCAAGAAGCATTGCATCCCCGATCCTGATTTCTTTTTAAACTGAAAATGTTGGCTTATACATACACATACACACATACATACATACTCATAAAGCCAAGCAGATACACAGATAGAACATACACACAAACACACACACACA